CTTATTTGAAGAATACAACTATTAAAATACTAGCTATAAAAAAGACGGCGATATGTAATGCGAGCAAGCTTCGTTGTGAAGCTCAGAAAAGTTATAGGTATGAACTTATTTTATAGCGTTTTTAATACTGTAACTCGGAACAATAGGTTGGATCATTTATTTTTCCTAGTAATCAAGTGTTCAGTATTAAATAATGGGTCTCTACAGTAGTTATAATTTTAAATAGCTATATAGCAAGAATATTTCGAAGTGAATTCTGTAAAACTGTTTTTATATCACTATAAAACTATTTTTATATGAAAACAAATTTGCATTTTGGCCTGTTTTATTTATCATCAGTGTAAAGACAGTACGTATTCACAGTAATAGATACAGTCACTAGTTTTTGTTAACTAACGTGTACTTTAAAGTTTAAACTAGGGAGATGTTTAGGCATTTATTATAGAATACATATTAAACTTTCAGAACTTTGATACAAGATTGTTTATATGTAAATGCAAAATTCCATGCTGGGATATAAAATAATGCTAGCACTCTTACAAATTGCAGCCTATTTTGTGAACACATTCACTCAGTATTAAACGGAAAAATGTATCCAACTTATTGAACCAAGTTAAATTAAAACGCTATAACTAAATTCACTGCCTATATACACTTTGTCGAGCAAGGTTCACCTCGAGGTTCACAACTCACAACGAAGCTTGCTCGCATTACATATCGCCGTCTTTTTTATAGCACATTTTCTTCGCCATTATTGCTCAGAATTTCATGACATTTCGTATACATGTAGCCAAAAGTTACCTGGTTGTTTTGCTGTAGATAAAAGTTATGGATGGATGTAAAAAGTTTTTAAAATCCACCATTTCATCTTCGAAAAAAAATCGATCTTGTATTTTAGCAGTCTTCCTGTTGTAGTTCAACCCCCCCTGAAACCAAATTTTTACTATAAATACGTCACAAACTGTTTATTTTTTCAACCAATTAAATCACATAATTTTTTTAAAAATATGACGAATGAAATAACCTTTGGCATCCCGCATAGTCACATCAAAATTTTCATCAGACCATGAAACGTTTGTACAAATTTTTCATCTTTCTTGCAGTCTTCAAAACAAAATTTATATGCGGGTATGTAGAAAAAATATCAGAGTTCAATGTGGTATAATTTTTTATCATGTTTTATTTACGTATACGAAGTATTTTGCGTTTTGCCGAAGTGGTATATTCGTCAGTTGAGATATAGTTGCCAACCTTAGGTATAATCTATATACATCAACACTACTTTTCAAATTGAGTGCTTGCGGCGCGCGACAAATGACAAAGGAATGGGGCGAGCTTAATGCAAATTGACATTTGGAAGCATTATTGGTGCATTCTACACGCCGTTTTGGGCTGCCTATGATTTACCATGAAAAAACGTTTATAATATACAATTCGAACCTACGACCTTTGGAATACTAGCCCAATGCTCTGCCAACTGAGCTACGCGGTCTGGTCGGTTCGAGTATGTGATATTTCGGAACAGAATCTAGTTCGTTCGATATCAATGTTATCTAATAATAAAAATATCACATACTCGAACCGACCAGACCGCGTAGCTCAGTTGGCAGAGCATCGGGCTAGTATTCCAGCCCGGTGTGGATAGAGTAACATCACAAGCATCATATTCACCTGAGTACATTACACCAACACAGAAAAATCATGAATATACAATTGTTGACAAAACCCTTCTGGCGGTAAAGCCCAGGGCAAACTAGGAAACATTGTTTCCTACCAATGTTTCGCCATGTTTCCCAGAGTGGGCAAACACTAGGAAACATTAGTGAGAAACATAGGGAAACATCAAATGTTTCTGAATTTGGTAGGAAACATTTTTGCTTCGCAGGAAGCACATTTCCGCAACAATGTTTCCATATGTGGGCAAACATGGAAACATTTGAGAAAACATCGAGAATCACAAATGTTTCCGCAACAATGTTTCCTAGTTTGCCCAGGGCTTAAGGCACCTGATACTCTCTTAACGTTAACGATGTTATGTTATGTTATGTTATGTTATGTTATGTTATGTTATGGTATTGTATCATAACTAGAATGTGCAATAAACCAGCACTTGTGGTGTCGTGATCACCACGCTTCCCTTTCAAGCTGCGAGACCCGGGGTTCAACCTTTGGTCGGACCTCTACTCAAGGTCTTAAAATAATTGAGAAGAAAGTGCTACCTTTACACAGTGAGCTCCATATATATCTGGCTATTCTGAATCTTACAACAATAACAACAACAATAGTTTATTTACCCTTTTAAGTTTATAAATACAAATTATACTAAATATATTATATGTAAATTGAACGAAAATGCGAAGGATAATGGCTTCTTGAAATAACCATAAAAGCTAAAAATGCCAAGAAGCCATTTTCGATGATGCAGATATTATAATAATAATTTGGAATCATTGAATTTCAAGTTGCCCGAACATATTTTGTCAATGATTGATTGGATAACTCAGTACAGTATCTATAATAAAGTACGATACTGTATAGTACAAAACAGTATAGTGCAGTAAACAGTCCTTGGAATGTACTACATTTTAGAATTTTGGACCACTCTATTGCATTGGGGTTTGCTGTGAATTGCTGATAAGACGAGTATAGCACGTTCACTATTAGAGGTGTGCATCGGATTGGACGTTTATAATCCGACAATTGGCTAATGTTTAAAATCCGATCCGAAATTGTCTAATCCGAATCCAGTCCGATCCGAGTTTTGATAAAGAATTCCGATCCGAAGAATTCCTTAATAAAATAAATTTCTCATTCAAGTTGGAATATTTAACCAAATAAATATAAAAGCAAGAAATACATGTCAAGAAGCTGACAAAGTGACGTCCAATTGAAGTATCAAACGAATAATGCAGAGACAACTGCGATAATGCTTTCATAAATGCATGGTAATTAATTCTTGCGATAATGCGTGGATAATTAATTCATTTTATTTTGGATATCGAAGTCCGATCCGACTACGAAACAACTTTATCTATCCGATCCGAAATAAATATTTTGGTTCCGAAATCCGAACGAATCCGATCGGATCGGATCGGTTTCGGAAAATGCAACTGATGTAAATGTAACAGAACAGTGCAGTTCAGTTCAGTTATGTATACTGTACTTTTTTATGCATGATTTATTTTAGGAAACTTACTATAATCTAACATAAAATTGCATCTTATTTTAAGGGATTGGAAGCTTCAATTGCTGGCTTGAAAATTGTTTGAAGTTCATAAATCAAGGACATATTAATCAACGAATTGAAAAGACGTTAACAGCTTTTACGTCTTAAATAGTGTTACCTTTACTATATTTGAAATTTTTCATTAAAAAGCTTTTCTAACTTTCGAGAGTGTATATGTATGCGATTCTATAGCTAATTTTTCTGGTGAACGTAATGAGTTATAAAAGAATTTAAAACTTCTGTCAAAGTTAGCTTTGCATTAAGGTAGTTCTCAGCTTTCCCCAAGTAAACGTCAAGAGCATCAGCAATTAATAACCTCGTATGCATGGTTTAATTTTGTTTACTTTTCTAATCCTTTTAAACTCAAAGATTTAATCCCAGAAGACATATGCAATATAACTGGAACGCTACCTTCAGATAAACTGCCTATCTTTCTCTTGAAGCCAAATCTGACCTCCAAACATCCGTGTTTATGCTTCGCGATTCTTTCGCGAGACCATGCCGTTTTAATAAGAAAAAAACTAAAAGTAAAGTCTACGGTAAAGTAGAAGGTTTTACCTGTATAAAGCGTCAATAGAAAGTTTTCTGTGATGTTAAAAAAACTTTTTGTAAATTTTAAGAATACACACTCTGTATTCATATTGACGGATGACCGTGCTCTTCGCGCGCGTGAGAAGATTGGGACTGCCCCTCAAGGTTTCCTTCAAATTTCCGGTTGGAGGTAGCGTTCTATTTCACTAGCACGTCTTCATTGATGTTGTATTTGCGCCAAACTCACAACCCAAAATTTGCCAAGAGCCGGTACTTGTCCAATTCTCAGGCCAGGCTATACTATATATAGTGGAAAACCTATCTACGTTCATGGTTTTGTTTGCCTAACTAATCTCTAACTGTCAAATTAACTTATTACGACATTAGTGATTAAGTGTGTGAAATAAGTACACTACACAAAGCTTTTTATTAAGAAATACCATTTAACTATGTATGCTATAGATTGATTATATGGCGATTGATTCTTGGCTTCGTCAAACTTTATATCAAAACTTTTTTGTACAACCAATTATAAGTATGCTGTATTCAATAATCACAATCCTGAGCAATATCTTTAGAACTGATAGTTAAGCCAAAAGGGATTTGGATGTTTGTCGCAGTCTTTTCGCGGTCAAGTCCGCAGACAGAACTGAATCGATCTCTAATATTGGCCGTCTTTGGCTTCTTTACTTTCATTATTTAATTCAGTTTTATTTGAAGCTTACAACCTACATTTGATTGAGCTGTTCTGTCTGTTGAAAGCCTCCGATGGCCCGCAAAAGCAGACGCATGATTACGATATTTGAAAAATTACACGAAACTCACCGTGTGAGGTCTATTTTTACGAATTGCTTGCTAATCATTGCCCGGAGACTCGTTTGCATTGCTAATCCCAAAGTGTCAAATTATCTCAATTTAGCTACGCGAGCACAATGCATAATCAAGAGTGTAGTCATCCAATGTTGACATACACCTGCCGAAATTCATTTGGAATTCACTTTATTACAGTAAACTTTGTTTGAATGTGCTATTGCCGCATTTGTAATATATTGCGTTACTCCTATGCTGTGGGACTTGCTAATATGATAACATAATCATCAATAACGAGGTCTTCGAAGCTTGGAAATCGTCCCCTTTGCTCTGGTAAAATGGCCTTTAAAGAGAGCCTGCAGACGAGTGTGAAAGAAAGCCAACTCGAGGATTTTTCAAACAACGCCATTGCGAAATCGTTAAGCATGAAAAACAGACGCGCGGCGGGCAACTGGCAACAGCTGGTCAGGGCAATAGATATACAAAAGAGTGAAAAATCGACAGAACTTAAACATGACCGAAATAAATTGCTCGGCAAAAGAGATGAAATTGAAACGAGAACTGTGTCTTTGTCGAGCAAGAAGTCGTTGAGTTTTCAGCAAGAGAAACCTGCCCTTCTCAAAGTGTACGACAGCTTGATGGCTTCGATAGAGAAGGAGAAGCGAACGAAGTCGGGAAGTGTTAGCGAAAGCATCACAAGGCATACACAAAGTTCCGAAAGAAAGAAAGTTGCACGAAAAAATGTTAGCATATCCTTGAATGAATTGCAGAAGCGGGGTCCCAAGGCGAGTGTAAAATCTAAGGAACAAACGGTCGAAAAAGTCCAAAACATCGGCTTCGATGATCGTGGACGAGAACATACGAGGCCGCAAAGTGCATTTGATTATACCGAAGAAGAAAAAGATATAAACCGTAGACTTTACTGTTCTCCAACAGCTCTGCCTAGGATACATTTACAGACGTCACATCGACCGAGGTTTCGTAGTTTTGATAAGGATGAGGAGGAGTATCGCAGAAAGATTCTGCAACGAGGAATCTTGGAAAGATATTCATCAATGCAGATATTTACGTCTCCAGAAACGGTCGCATACTATGCATGATTTGAGATCTGGTGGGTAAAAAGTACAACTTGAGGAGAATAATTTATAAATGCGAGCAAAGGAGCAATTTGCTACTTGAAACTAAATCTGGTTTCAACGCATTTTTTAATCCACAATGTTTACCCATGACTGCATGAGATGTTCTCATTGACATTATAATTTTCCAGTAACATCATTAAAATCAGGTTTTTGTGCAGGTCCATCGCGAAGAAGTTTAAGCAGGGTGTGTGTGTGTATTGTACTATTTGCCGACAAAACTCAACATTTGGCAACCATCGTTATACGTTTTCCGAAATATGTGTCGACGAGGGGGGAGGGGGAGGGGAGTGAAATTTTTTTAGACGATAGATGTAGAAATCGCCGAGAAATTCTTCATTTTGCGTAAACTTGTTTTCAAGATGGTGTCACACCCCCAACACCCGCGATGGCCCTGTTTTTGTGCAATAATCTTCAACTTCAGTAGCGCAGTAATTGACACTGTTTACTTTGGGCTTTTGTATTCTTTTTTATGTCTTGCATGATTCGATCTCTCGAGGCCGTATTTTAGGACAATTATTACTTGATATATAAAACAACATATAAAGAGTTTGAATTTTTCACTAAAGTTACAGAACTACCGTTGCTATGACTAGGGTTGGGCGATATTAAAAAAATCATCTCACGATTATTGTCAAGAAAATTATCACGATATTCGATAATATCGCGATAAATGCAATAAAAACAATGACCACATTTTTTCAATTTTAATATCAAAGCATAGTAGCTTATATATAATCTTATTAAAAACAAGTAAAACAACAAATTAAAGTAATATGAAAGTTTTTTCTAGTCTAATATTTACTGTTCATAAACCAGAACTGTCTATGCGCAGTGTCTACTGTGTCTCCGCTGGCACAAATACCGTGGGCACACAGCGCAAGCAAAGTCTGCACGACTTCGTCCCCAGGGTCTTCCTCGTGGTGGCGCGCGAGCTGAGGAAGACCCTGGTAAAATCACAAGAAGCCCAGGCTCGATTTGCCTTACCCTGGAACCAGAGGGTATTTATTTTCGCCTGTTTTGAATAACCCTCTGGTGAAATTGGCGTAGTTTTCGGGTTCACATTCCACACATAACTTTCAAAAATGGAAGGAAAGAGTTGATTGGCTGCTAACTATAGGTTCGATAGACTACGTGTTCTGATTGGATATTGTAAACATCATAGCCTGTTCGCAGGCATTTCGTGTTTTGATTGAATTGAAACATTTGAATTTTGAAATGTCTAAATTATTAAATAAACGAACAAAAGTTGAAAGAAGCAGTTTTATAGGCTGCATTAATAGATAGATTGATAAATTTCCTGAATTAAAAGTTTAACGGAGCATCAATACCGCGCCTTGTCCAATTTGATTCGGTAGTTTTGATTCAATTTATAGCCATTTGCTAAACAATAACCTATGTTTTGATATATGCATGTTTAATTGTAATCTTGACATATAAAATAAGCTATATCCTTATTAACATAACTGAATATTCGTTCGTTTTCGTTCAGTTGTGCATGTTAACTACTTCAATCGTACCGAAGCGTAGCGTATATCTCACTAGAGTAGAACTAATGACTTCAACACAAAAGAAAATCAGGCTACGGTACGTTACGATACGGTTGAAGTGGAAAACCGGCTCAATTATGAATCCTGATCGCTCATCTCAATATTCGTAATTCAGCATAGTCTCTTCTTTTCTATGACGATGTACAATCATCATACAGATGCATTTCTTTGTTTTGAGTTCCTGACCCACATCCCATGCACATCCTGACCCATAACTCCCTCGCCCTAACCGGAAGCATCTAACCACAACCGGTGGACGGCTAATGTTGTCCCTCCTCTGGCGTTGCAAATAAACCTGTTTATTTAAGGTGGCTCAATACAGTTTTTGAAAAATTGACGATCCAGCTCCCCATTTTCGATAAAATATTATTAAAGTCATTCAAATAATTCAATTTAAAAAAGAGAAAGCAGATTCACCAAACTCTTTTTTGCACAGGCGTATACGGGGCCGATCAATGCCGGCGTGGGGGGCAGTTGAAAATTTGCCCGAATTTGTATAAAGAGGGATTGTAATGAAATGATCTAAATTTAAAATTTTTTCTGATATATTTGCTCAAATGTACCCAAGGTCAAACAGAAATATACTCGTGAGTGAAACATGAGGATCTTACTGGATTTTCCTTGTTTGCAATTCGAATTTCAACCAACATGGTGGAAATCTTTTTGTCCTTTGAAATCCTTGACTATATGCATACCACCACTTTTTTCTGTGAAAATCGAGGGGAAAGTTTGTTTAACTCAGGACACGTTAATTCTGTACGTGTGCATGGATACAAACAACTCATTTGACATTGATTTCTTTTCAATTTTCTTCATGTATTTTCAATCGGTTTTTACAATTTACAAACACAGAACTATATTGTACAATTAGTTAAGTTCATCTGATTAAGTTCATCAGGTTAATGTTCATTGTTCGTTGTATTTTAATGAATATATTGCGTTTAACAAGTGATCTGTGTTTACTTATGAAATAAATTACTAAGTCAAAACTGCATACGCAATGAATGCAATTTAATTAAGTCTTTCAGTTTAATTGTTCGTAAGTTCAGCTCATTTTTCAACATTTTCATCCATGTAAGTGCTTTTACTACAGTTGAAGTAAAACTGCTCGTGTTTTGCCAACTAACGCGACTGGACTTTTTGGATGAGATTTTAGGCCAGCACGTTGAATCCATTCGCTGCTCCCCAAATATACACTATTACGTGATTCCCCAGTTTCTGAGAAACTCAGCAAACTGCAGTATGGCGACAGATTGATTTTAAGTAGGGTATGTTTTGTGATGTGATTTATTGCAACGGAAGCAATATATCCACATCCTGTGGGATTCTCAATTGTGCGTTGTAACTCTCTGTTTTCTGTGTAGATATAAACATCTTTCTGGCCTGTAGCAACTATTGTTCCAGCAAAACTTGAGAATCGTACTGCATGGATATCTGATTCCCTGAGCCTGAGAGAAAAACTTTTGTCGACTTTAAACGAATTCAGCTCAACACATACGTTACCAATATACAGGATATTCCTTGCGTGGTTTAAGATAGCAATCTTCCCGTTCTTCTTTATTGCCATGTGCACTCCTGCATAAGTGCTTCCATGGAAAGGTAACGGACATTCAAGTTTTTTGTTTCCATTCTCATCAAGGATAAACAACTTCAAACTCCATGATTCATCATTGATTTTAATCCAGTGATGACGTATAGGTTATCTTCAGCATCGATTTCCATCGACCTAACGTAGCATTCTGACGTATGCTCTTCCCTGGGAGCTTCACATAGAATACGACTTTCCCCTGAACGTTTAAAAACTTTGAAAGTACTCAGTTCATCCCGCGTCACTGCAACGATGTCTCCCTTGCTATTCACAACAGAAAATGTAATCAAATCACCAAATGTAAAATCTGAACCCTGTGAAACTACCAGTGACATTACTTGCATACCAGAGCCTTTAAGTATTTCAATATGGTGATCGCTTGCATCTCCAAGCACAGGACGGTACGTTTTTTCACCGAGGAAAATCGTCGGCCAGGCAAACATGCTCGTGAGCAATGACGATTTCGCGAACTTTTTGATGAACTCAAACAATATTTCATTCATGACTTGTACTGACGAGGCATTGTTAAGTCGCTTCGTTTTATTGAACCTCGACTTCATTCCTCCATCAATCAGAACAGAAAATATTTCTCGAATAGCTCCAATATCATGAAGCTGTCAGCAATCACTGCAAGCAATCACTTGCGCTTGCTTCTGGGTCTTCCAAATTTTCCAAAATTCTTGCCACGATTCTGACTTGCGATGCTTGAATTCGGTCTTCGATGGACAACGCTTCGTTACAGAATGCTTTGGTGGCATTTTCACCCGCAAGTTCGAACGATTTTATGGCAGATTTAAAGCGTTCCTTGGAATGTATTTTCAATGACGTGATGGCATTTATAAGAGCAATAACTTCGTTGATAGGAGAATCAGTACCAGTGTCTCTGAATGACGCGGCTTCGACTAAGGTCGCTTGTTCGGGCGATTCTGCTGTATTTTCATTTGAATTCACTTGAAGTAAGGATTGATATACTATAGTCTATTGACTCCGTCTTGAAGAAAACAAAGGCTACTCAGTAAATCCTTTTTTGCCAGACCATCTAGCTTGCTTTTGATATCGTCAAGTTCTCTGACGATCAAGCGCCGACATTCTTCGTCCGTGACGTCGCCATCTTTCAAACGTTCTGCAATTCCACTGCGAATCAAGTTTCACAACACCGGTTACTACCGCAGACATTTTGGAAATCAGTGAAGCATTCACCAAACAATCGTGATATTAATACCTTGAGACATACATGACATGACCATACAAGATATCCGATTTCATGTTGACATCCTGTGATGCTGAAAATTTGTATATCTCGTACGTTGACCATATATGGAATACCATACCTTATATGTAACAAAGCATAGAGAAGCAAATACATGGCACTGAGGCTGTCTCCTCCGCAGAGCCTCCTTAAGTATTTACAAAAACTTACATGACGTCAGTCCTGAATTAAAGTGAGCGCGCGCGGAGTGATGGGAAGATTGAAATGAAGGCGAGAAGGCTCTGCCGCATAATGCAAAAAAGTATGGTTTTTGAACCAAACTTTTGTTTGACATTTTCTTAATTTAAACTTGAAATGGACGGAAATATGGAAAAAATTAATTGAAATAAATCTTCATAATTTGAGTATCGAAGGTCAGTACAACCTCGTGAGGTTGAGGTCAGTAGAGCCATTTTTATGAAGAAATGTTAGAGAATATTTATAATTAGATAGCTCATACCATTTATAGTGCTAGTTTACCCACACGGTAGTGAATGCTGCCTTGGTATAGCATTGTTCCCAAATCTTTAAATGAGATTTTTTAAATTTGTACGTATGTTACGTAACACGCGCTCAAAACCAATGCGTATAATATACCACATGAGATTAATATGACTAAAATCAAAATTTTTATTTTTCGATACGTTTCTCAATCGGTAAAAAAACCTTAAAAAGTATGTTTAGTGCTTTATCTGTAAAATAATGCTAAAATGAAGAGATTTTAGATGATACGCCAAAGAGAAAATGATGTCTGAAGTTCAGTACGTTTTGCTTAAACGGCTGTAAATATAGCGTCAGTTAAAGGGCATCATTGATAATTGTATTTTAATTGGCAATTTTTAACTATTATTTTATGTTTCTCAACTGGCAAACGCATTTAAAAAGGCAGCTAACTCTATAAACTGTAGAGAATAAAGCTAAAACAAAGTAATTTTGAGAGGGACGCCAAACAGATTTTAGGTTTTGAACACTTTTCATTGCAAATACGTGACATTGAAAAAAATTGCCTCTTAATATTTTAAAGAATAAGAGTAAGAAATATTCGTAATGAATTGGAATCATCCATAATTTAGGCCAATGAAAATTGATATCATGTTTCTCGTCCACAATTTTCAAAAATTTGGAGCGGGATTTTTTCATTTTTCATTTTTCATTATTTTTTGTATTTGAATTCTGCTTGTCAATAATTTCCTTGACCCAGTAAAAAACCCATAAAAATCTCAAGTATTAAAAATTGGTGCATAATTCATTTTAATTTAATACGTCCTACACTACAGTCTACAGACTACAGTATGTTTCTTTACATACCAGGGCTGACATGAAAAATAGAGGCATTCTGGCGAGTAATATCTTTAGAAAGATACAATTTGAGTTGCGCTTGCGGAATACAGCAATAAGACTTTGATCTGGAGATGAATTTGGTAAATCCCATGCGGGCGGGGACGAGAAACATGATATCAATTTTCATTGGCCTTATACACTTGAATGTTCCGTATGATATAAACTCGGCGCTCGAAGTTTCGTATCGAAAGAGGAACAGCCGAACAGGTACGATGGCTAACAAGAATGAGTGTACTTATCAACTTATCTAACGCGAGGAAAAGATCAAAATGGCAGGTTTGGCTGTGATATCTAGTATATAAAATTGTATAGACAATTTGCCCACAAATACGGTGCTAGATCAAAACGGCCCAAAGTCAAAACGGCCCTGCCAAAGTCAAAACGGCCCCGCTTCAATCAGTCATATGATTTAGACCAGGGGTTAAAGGGCAATGACAATGACATGCAGGTGACATTTAACATGTGCGAGTGTGCGTCTCACTAAATTTGCTTAAATTTGCGTGTTTAATAATGTTTATCAAAGAAGGCAAAAATATATACAAGACAACCTCACATGTGAAATCTGTTCACTTACGCACTGCGTTGTGATGCAGTACAAGTACAAATACAAATGACAAAGCATTTTTAAAGGCTTTAAATCCTAAAACAAAATTAAATCATACGGCACATTCAAGATTTTAATATCGTATTTCAGCCACGTATAATTATACTGCTTGGCGCGCATTTGCTGCGTTATATTAATTTATATACCTATGTTATATACACAGATACCTATGTTATATACACAGATTTATTACTAATAAATCAACACACCTTTTTATAAATAAACCTTTTTAAAAGCATGTCATTGTCATTGCAGACCAGAGGCAAAAAGCACAGCGACATAGGCCTACCAGATTTATTAAGCAATCGTGAGATTATATACATGGAAAGATTAAGAATATGGAAATTATGTTAAAAGCACCCCGTATAATGACGAAACTACGAAAGCACCGCGTATAATGCTCGAACCACTGCGAATAATGGCGAACGCACCGCGTATAATGGCGAAAGCACCACGTATAATGCTCGAACCGGGGCTTCGGTGGCCAAGTGGTTAGCGCACTTGCCTTTCACCTCTGAGGCTGCAGGTTCGAGTCTCACTAAGTACCTTCTCAGTGCGACCCGAACCCAGTCCCCATGTGAAAAGAGTAAAAGTCAACACTCTGCCGAAAACCGTGGGTTTTCCCCGGGTACTCCGGTTTCCTCCCACAGGGAAAGTTGACAGGGTGGATTAAGGTAAAAAAAAAGGGCCCACAGTAATTGGCGTATGCTGTTGTGGTGACCCTGCCCTAGTTGGCAAAGCTAAATAAATAAATAAAACCACTGCGTATATAAATAGCGAAACCACCGCTTATAACGCTCGAAACGCTCGAACCACTGCGTATCGACAAAATACCGTTTGATCACTTACGCCAGCTAGTTTCCATAAAAGAAAACCAAAGATGAAAGATGATCAAATTGCTTGTTTGCCTTATGCCTGTTTATTAGGCAAGAATAGCCTATAGATAGATAGATAGATAGATTTTATTTTGACACGCTAACTACGTCAATTAAAAACAGCCTGCCGGCCCGGAAGCAGCGCATTGTGGTAGGCCGAAATACGCCGAAACGATCGAGATTTCATCTGCCTTATTGCTGCGGAGCGAGCGTAGCAGCAGCCTAATATATGCAGAGAGGGGGTTTTGAACTAAATTTTATTTAGCGCATGGAATTGTGGTCGTGTGCGCTTTCTATGCGCAGAACACAAATTTTAATTAACTCGCTGGAGTCTTCGAATTTTTATCAAATTTCTAAAGCTTTTGCAAATCTAATGTTACCAGACATTCCAACCTCCGAGTCTTCAAAACCGGGACACTTCCCAATTTTCCCATTTTACTTAAATAAACGCCTCCCTCGAATAAATGCCGCGCTTTTCTCATTGATGTGGTGTCTATTTGGGTTAGTGTTAAAATTGGTTGAGTTGAGTTTGAATTAAACAATAAATTTACAGTGGATGCTGCAAAAACTAGTATTATTACACTAACATTGAAACCCATAAGTAATATAACATCTTCTCAACAAGCTTTAATTTCATTGAACTACTGTACTGGCGAGTGGCGAAATTGTTTCGTTTTACTACTGGGTTAGCACTTTTTCCATCCAGCATTAGACAGCAAACCGCCCTATCGATTTTCTAAAGTCGTTTTTTTTAAATTTTTTTATTAATTCGGTTAGGGTTAGAGTTAGGGTTGCGGTTAGGGTTAGAGTAGGGGGAGGGTTTGGGTTAGTTACATAGGCGTAGCCATTTAACGCCTCTTCTATCTTCCGTAAATGACGTCAGGTTAGTTTGCTGGATAGAAAATAGTGCTAACCTTACTACTGGGGCCGGTTGTTCAAAGCTGGATTAGCGCTAGCGCTAATAACCCTCTGTTAAAATTCAACCTGCTGTTTTAGTTTCTGTATTTCTACATATCTGTTTATTTCAAAACTTCAGAGAAGAGAACTCTCACGGATCCACGCAAGAATTATGAAGAAATCTTTCGAAGTATATAACCAAGCTGTTGGGAAGTTTGCTTTGAATTTTAGGTTAACCTATAGTAAAGCTGATCGGCTTTTGAACAACCGGCCTCGGGTCTTTTGAACTGTGATCCGGCCTCTCGTATTCAAGAGCCCGCGATTATTGCCCCGGCTTCTGTCATGCTGCTTTACTTCATGTAGCCCTGGCAAAACAACGTATGTCACGAGAATTACAACGATCGGCGACAAACTTGGCAATTGTTTGGGGCCACTAGAAGCTCCCATTTCATTAATATGTATTGAACCAAACGAATTTCATTAATATTTGTCACATGAGCCTTATTTGAAGAATACAACTATTAAAATACTACAGAAACCGGGACAATAAGAAGAAAACCGGGACACCGGGACAACATAGTCCAAACCGGGACAGTCCCGGGTAAACCGGGACGGTTGGAATGTTTGTGTTACGCTTACATTTGTTTTGGACTTTGGCCACAGTCAGTTCTATATTTTTATAAAGTTTTGGTTTCTTAGTGTGATAAATCTGTGTATATAGTTTATATAATGTGGTAAATGCGCCTAGCAGTAAACAGACTTGATACACTCTCCTCCGCAGAGCCAATTACGAATTTTTAGTAAAATTGCGTAATATTAAGGGGGGGGGGGACAAATTACGCAAGGTATGATGGGAAGACGGATTTCACCCCCCCGTCGCGCACCACTAAATATCCTCTACTATCCCTACAAATCCTATATAATTCAGACTCTGCGGAGGAGAGTCAGAGTCAGACATTCCAACCTCTGATTCCTCAAAACCGGGACACTTCCCAATTTTCTCATTTTACTTAACAAACGCCTCCCTCGAATAAACGCCTCCCTCGAATATTAAAATGCCGCAGACCTGCCAAGTTCGGAAGATAAGAATGCGTGACCAGGGCCGTTGCGAGGACTTTGCCTTTGGGGGGGGGGGGGTTAGATTTACCGCCTGAATTGTTTCAATTCACCTGATTTTGCGTCGCCCGTGAGGCGCTATCATGGTTGGCGCCGAGCAAAAAATTTTGAAAATTTGAATTCTCTAGACCGTCGGAAATAGCATTTTTAGAGTCTTTCCTACCCAAGATTTCAATGTTTTACTACTGCCTAACAATGAAGATAAGTAAAATAACTACTGATCAATATGACAGTGTTACTTACAGTTTAATGTGACTAGGAAAATTGAGAGAATTTTGGAAATTTGGAGTCTCCAAATCGTCAGAAAGCGTATTTGGCCATGTACCCCCAGGCCACGATGCATCTGAACGTCTTTATTTGGTTGGTCGATTGTTAACTCTCAGTAGTTCTACGTTTGCACACAGCGTTGTCAATGAGTTATTGCACGAAAAGTGGGATAGCGTCATATAATGGTAAAAATGCGTAACTTTAAGATCATTTTAGTCATGCGTGCGGGACAGCGGGAACAAAAGCAGAATGCGTAACTTTCACGCGAAATGCGGGAATCTTGGCAGGACTGAATTGCCGCGCTTTTCTCAATGATGTGGTGTCTATTTGGGTTAGTGTTGAAATTGGCTGAGTTGAAACCCATAAGTAATATAACATCTTCTCAACAAGCTTTAATTTCATTGAAGTACTGTACTGGCGAAATTGTGTCGTTTTACTATCATGCTATGATCAGTCACTGATCCTCTCGTATTCAAGAGCCCGCGATTATTGCGCCCGCTTCTGTTACGCTGCTTTACTTCATGTAGCCCTGGCAAAATGAATAGGAATTGAAAGCGAACGCTAAATTGTCAAAACAACATATGTCACTCTCAGGGTATCAGAAACCGGGACAATAAGAAGAAAACCGGGACACCGGGACAACATAGTCCAAACCGGGACAGTCCCGGGTAAACCGGGACGGTTGGAATGTTTGCAGAGTGGACTTGATATGAAATCTGATCTTAATTTACCTGTATGTCAATGAGACGCACGTGTTTAATATCTGTCACCTCTGATTGCCCTTTAACCCCTGGTCTTTGCTACTTGAATATATATTGCTTTTTCTCAGTTCCATTCACAGCTCACTACTGAAGTCACTAGTCGCTGCAAGTAATCACTGTGCTTGATATAATTTGTGCTGCTTACTGTAGTTCTATTTGCTTTTAATGCCCGCAGCAATCCCTACCTTGCAGGTACCCTAGTGTTTTATATTTATAATCTCTATTGGGGAGTAAGCCATTTGAAGGGCATAATAATGCTGCTAACATGACGTTTCTAATATTGTGAGTGCTAATGCAACATGGCGGAACAAAAATGGAAATGGTGATAAAATTGTGAATGCCAGTAGTCCGTATTGAATTAGAAAGGTGAGTGTGTGTAAAGGGCTGTAAAGGCCTTAGTGTAGATATATTTTTGTAAGTTGATTTAGCTTTAATTTCGAATTAGTTTAATCATGAAAATCGTTAATTATAAAGTGAAGGGCGACTCACACTCAATTTTTAAGGCCTGCAGATAAAAGACATGGAGTTCCCTGCATGAAATGTAGGCACTTGAGTCGGACTCAAGCGCCTGCATTTCATGCAGGGAACTCCATGTCTTTTATCTGCAGGCCTTAAAATATCGGTCGGTCACGGACATTGTCCGACCCATTCGTGAAATTGTCCGACGTGGAGAGAAAGCCACCGGACATTCTGTCCGACCTAAGTGAAACTGAGGTTTATTGTTTGTCCGACCAGAGTGTATTGGTATCCGACTGAACTGTAGCTTTGTCCGACGTCGGACGTGTAAATCAAAATGTACCCTAGCCCAGGACTAGAGACTTGTATGTTAAATGGAAAATCAGAGTACTGTTGTATAAAAGGTGAACTGGGAATGTTGTTTTAACATAGTCGAGCGCAAATGGTGAAGTGAAAAACGGTCTTAAGTTGTCGAAGTCTTTTTTAAGGTATCCAGTCGTTTCACCCCCAAGTCGATTCGCCTCCAGTCGTTTCACCCCCAAGTCGATTCGCCCAGGGCCGTCGCGAGCCTGGGGGGGGGGGGGGGGGGG